TGAACACAGCAGTGACCCTATATCAGCAGAAACTGCAAGCTTGGAATATCTCAATGGGTAAGTACAGGGCAGTTCGAGATGTTTCAGTGATGCACAGGAATATTGCAGTACACAACACAGACTAGGTAGGTAGGTTTGTCACAATATAACAAGTCATAGAGTGAAACTGAGTTTTGTAACTTCCTTCTGCTACATAGCAGAAATTATACATTAATAAAGAATCAATTATGAAAAACGGTAAACAGAATAAATAGTATGCAGGTGAATCAAATCTAATCCTATCTTTCAAATGGAGGAGTGGATGTTGTGTTTTTATGTGCTTTTATCTTGGGCCAAAGCAGCTCAAAAAAACACTTGACTAACTTGATCAATTCCAGTTGTTGGATGTAAGATCGACAGTGTCTCTGACTGGTACCTGCATTAGCCAAAATGTTATTTGTAGGAGTAAAAAATTGAGGACACAAGAGCTAAAATGTCTTCAGTCTGCACTTAAGAACAGAACTAACAACAGAAGCAGCATCTGTTTCTCCTACTAGCAGTCAGAGTATTAAAGAAGGGGAAATCTTTGCTGAGAGGCTGCACAGCTGATGTGTGTCTTGTTTCAGAACCACTAAAACGGGCAGTGGCCAGCTTTCGCAGCGCAGCTAATCAGTTGGACCAGGTGATTCGCAGTTCAGACCTGGCAAATGAAACGTAAGAGCACAAAAATACATACAGTATAAAGACATATTGCTACCTCCTTTGCCGTACACATAGAAATTAATGCCAGCTCTGTCTCTCTTCTCTTAGACCTCTGAAGGTCAGAAGGATCAATGACCAGCTCATGCTACTGGACCGTGCCTTCTTGGACCCTCTGGCCTTCCCAGATAAATATGCATACAGGTAAGTAGATGATTAGCCAGTCTCATGACTGCATGCTTTATGCAAAATAATGTTAAAGAAAGTAGGACGAATGGGGGCTGTGCCACAACAAATTTTTCATCCAGGCTGAAATATTTAAACAACTATTGGATGGAGTGCCGTGACATTTTGCAGAAACCTTAATGGTTCCCAAATGATAACCTGTAACCTACTGATACTGGGATGCTTTGGCTTTTTCTTTATGTCACTATGAGGTTGACAAATTAAGTTTTATGAGATGTCTTTACAACACTTGGATGGGTTGCAATGAAATGTTACATGACATTCATGTCTTGTATTGTTTAAGTACCCTACCTTGACTTTTCATATAGTGCTGTCATCAGGTCCACTTTATTGTGACTTATTACACCTCTATGAATTATTCACCCTTTATTTCCCTGTTCCCTTCACAGGCATGTTATCTGGGCTTCAAGTAGTGCCGGCAAGACAACCTTCCCAGGTCTCGCAGATGCATACGCCAAAGCTGAGTCATCAGAACAGTCCAGCGACTGGGACAAAGTGCACTACCACCTTTCAGTCCTGAGCCAGGCCATCGATGGCGCAGCCAGTACACTTGTTGACGTCATATAGACATAGATGAGGAGCAAGGAACTGCACTAACTCAGGAATTTCATAAAAAGACAGGGAGATGCAGCCATTAAACACTCATACACACACACACACACACACGCACATACAATGACTATATGTGTTAAGCTGGCCATGATGAAACTATTTATGGATGCTAAACTGTAACATGAATGATGTCTTTTCTATTAAAGCACCTCATTAAAGATGAACCAAAACAGTTGTTAATCGAGTTCAGTCAGGACAACTTTATTTGCTTTCAGTAGTTATGTTTGGCGGTGTGCCTCTGTTCTGAAAAGCCATAAGCCAGGGCAAGTACACCTCTCTGCCCTTCCACGTGCCAATAGGGCGCACCTCCCTACCCATCCATGTGCATACATGGAAAGCTTGAGGCACAGAGAGCAGCAGCAAAGATCCCGCAGGGTACAGAACAGAGCAGCATCAATACAATTACAGAAATACACTGGTCAGGAATAGCCTGAAAGGAGGAGATGGGGTGGTGATGGGTTAAGTGAATGCTAAAAGGGAAATCAACTGAGCTGCCACCTGGTGTAGCTGACTTAGACATGGGCTGCTTTCGGCTGATGCACTGGGATTTTGATCTGTGCTTGACTTTGTTGCCAGCCTGAACTGATGCAATGCTTGAGTTGTACTACTTATTTAAGTGTACACGAACAGTTCAAGTTTGCTATTATCAACATAGGTTAAAAGCACGTGTATTTGGCAGCACATATTTTACTGCAGATAACTGATCTCTACTGTGAGAACTAGTCTTTCTGCATTGAGTAGTTAATATCAATGAGTACCATAAGAGCAATAATGATAATACTCAAAGGCAAATCTAATTGACAGTGGTCACTAATGACATAAGAACACAAATATCCACCTCAGTAAAGTAGTAGAAGACATCATCTTATCTTACCATGTCCTCATAAGAGAAAATCAATGACCAGCTCTCTGATTTTGTCTTTTTTCTTCTTTTTTTTTTAAACTTAATGGAGTATGAATCTCATCAAAGACAAGATAGCTGAAAATCTCCAAGTCAATGTTGGCATTCCTTTTTAAATTTGTAAAATTATGTCTGAAGGTTATAAATGTTGCTGATTGATGCATGGTAGTATTTCATTTTGTTTTCAAATTTAATTCTTGTTTTTATATACATTTAAAGAGCTGAGTAATAGCAGAATAATTCCAGAAACGTTTTCTATTCTCATTGTAGAGACCTAATTTTACATAATTAACATTTTAGGGTCTTGACCGAGACATGTGGTATTTTTAAATTCCAATGGTCAAACACAGCACATTTCTGCTTGAGCACAATCAAGAAATAATGACAATTTCTTTTAGATATTAACATAATCTATGTGTGCTAAAACTGTTTAATCTGAAAGGAGTGGTAAGCAGTCATAACTCTGAGCCACCAGCCTCTCTGGGAATGAGGAAAGCAGGAGTTAATGATCAAAATCATCCTCCACTGCATGTAAGTTAGACAGATTTGTGCAAAGGCTTGTCATGTTAGGATGAATGCCTAACAGCAACACTTGCCACCTCTGCCAAGGATATCTGGTCATCAGCACTTTGATTTGTGCATATGTGTTTGCAGCAACATGAGATGACCATCGGTGCTTCAGAGGGTTTCAGTATGGAAAATTTCAGCAGCACTGACAAACAGCACCTCATCAATAACCTGCACTTAACATGGGCCTCAGTTGCATTCAGCCCTGTACGTGGAGCCGCAATACTAGCTCCTGCCACCAGGGGTCAAAATATGCTTTGAGACATTCATATGGGTCAAATCAGCATTAGGGATTTGAAGTGTTGCTGTCACAAAAACTGAGTGAGTTCTAGCTACAAACCAAGTCAAATCAGCCTGACTCAGAAGGTAATTTATTTCAGAGTCACCTTATGATAATGCTGTTAAGCCTAGGTAATAGTCATGTATATTGAAGAGGTATGAAGGAAGGGGGAAAAGGCTACTAAGAGATATGGGAAGAAGAAGGAGCTTGGCTACATGGGTTCTTTCTTTCCTGTTCAAAGTCTCCTGTAAACACACAGGGACTGCTGGTTTTATCCACTCCCTCCCCTCTGGTTAGAGTTTTCAGTGTTAGTCACACCCATCTGAGCCCTTCGAGCCGCTGCAGAAGCACAACTTGGGGGTAGCACTGTTGTTTAAATGAACAACTGTGCGTTTGTGGATGAGAGAGGTGGGTGGGTTCATTTTATTTTTAGCCTTTATTCTCCATAAAAAAGATTTGGTTCTTGATGATTGTTGAATTACAAACACCGCTATAAAGTTGAGTCATACGAAGTTAAATGTTTTATTTAGCGACATGGTAAGGTGCTTTCAAAGCAACATGAGACACCTGGAAGAGCTCCAGAGGCAAGCTGCAGGTGTATCAGTCACATAAACCGCAAAACGTTTGTTTCTCCAAAAAGAGTAACAGAATATATGAGTTAAAGGCAACTGGCAGGGATATAGAAGACAGAAGATATACGTTATTTATCCCAATAGGAGAATATGTTTTGTATTTCTTATAGTGGACAGGTGCAGTATATAACATTTGACAAACAACCTAAAATTAGTCACGTGTGTGTTTATGTGATTTTGTCTAACCCTATATTAGAAAATACACTATCGTGGAAACCATCTTGTCACATAAACTACATAGTGACATAAATAGTGAAAGATATGAAATAATTTTGCAACTTCAGTATCAGGTCATAATCTTTTTTTTTTATTTATCTTGTTTAAAGTTAATTCTTCTGACATTTTAAACAGTGAATTGCAGGAATGTTGGTGATATATATATATATATATATTTATTGTGCAGTGTTTTTAGTTTGTAAATATTTACAGAAGACTGATTGTTTTAGCAGTTCTGCACTTGGCGTTCACAGTTTGACATTAATACTTTTAGAACTGCCCAGAACAGTTATGAACAAACAGAAGTCTGTCTGTTCCTAGCCACTGAGCAGTTTCAGTGGAGCTGTAGAAGCAGGGGAAGGAAGTACTTTCTAGCTTAAAGGTTGCTCTCATTCCAATTTCCATTTAATGCAGAGTAAAAAGCTCATTCTAAGTGTACTGTAAATTAACTTCTGTAAGCTTGATGGAACACTACTTTCTTTGTGAACTGATCTTGTTATTGAGGACTTCCATTGCAGATAATTCTCAGATGGTGCACAATGAACCTAAAATATAGTAGTATAACACACATTTCTGGTTTGAAAGTTTTTACTTATCAGTAAGCTTCCTCAGAAGATTGCTTTTCAAAACAGAAGCGATTCAAAGCAAACTTAACTGACTTTCCTTCTGATGATGAATGTAACTATTAGGTGCAAACATTACATTTTATAATGACACGCTGAAGAAACTGTATTTGAAATGGAACACATCTAAGTCCCTTAATTGGGTCAGTAATTGAGTGGAAAGCCAATGTTCAATAACAGCAATGATGTGGTAAAAAGTAGGATTTCCACAATGATTGTCAATCAAACACAACAACAAACGCAGGTGCTACTCGCCAGTCGCAGAGTTTATTCTTTTAAATATACATAGACTTTTTCCTCATATTAAATACCCCACCACCCTTCCCTCCCTTATCATCCCTCCCTCCTCCCATTTCTTCCCTCACACAATTCTTTGCTTTCTCCGTTCCCCCCTCCAGAGAGAAAGCCCGTCCGGCTGAAAAACACACTCTACTTTGTGCAGCATATTGCTTATTAAGACATTTGCGAAAACATAAATTAAAAATACTACGGCTTTTTGTTTTTTTTAAATTTTTTTCCTGATCCAACATCAGACTGATCTGAACAGAATCTAAAAAAAATAAAAATAAAAACAGCACAGTGTCCCTCAGTCTGGCTACATATAATAAACTGGATTCACCTGTTTTTCATGACTTGGTGTGACCCTCCTGGCTTGAATTGCACACAGTGGTCTGTACCATGATAGGTGAAATGGTAAGAATAGAAATTTATTCTACAACAGACGTCCTGAGTTTGGTCAAATCATGTCCGTGTGTTGTTCATCATGTGTTAAATGATAAGACATCCAATCAAGATAGCTGATTCCATTTCAGCCTTTGCTTTCACTAGGGTTTGTGTCCCTGCTCACCTTCGCAGGTCATAAAGTGTGTAAGTGCGTGAAAAGTGGAAGGGGGAAATCATTTTATTCACCCCACAATCAGTGATGTGCTTATTGTTTGTGGCCTTTTGTCAAATCGAAATTTGTGAAAAATGATTGGTCCGATGAGTCGGTTGGAGCTGCAGGCAGAGTGAAGGACAGTGTGATACGGCACTAGAGGAAAATTCAGGTGTTTAAGTCACAAGGCATGCATGTTAACACTGAACTCAGAGTCTCCACCAGAAAGTGTTTCAGCTGTGACGTGTGTGGTATGTGCTGTGCGTGAGTCTTGTCAGTCTGTTTTGGTGTGTGTCAGTGTCGGTGACTCTCTTTATTTGTACAGATGGAGGTGTTGTAGAAGTCCTGCTTTTGACTGCATGCATGCTGGACTGCTCCTACACTAGTATTTCTAATATTTTTTATATATTTTCAGTGAATGGAAAATACAAGGAATGTCGTGTTTGGTTGATTGACATTGTTCACCAATTTGTTTTTTACTTTAAATGGAGAATAAATGCATAAAAAGCAGGACTTTTGCTATTACCAACTCTGTATCATATGTGCATGTGTGTCTTGTGTGCATGTGGCGTGTCTCATCAAGTCTTATCAAGTTTTGGGTCCATCATTCTAGCAGTCTTTCTGTTTCCCTCCCTCCTCTTCAGGAAGCACAGGAGGGGCGTTGGCATTAGGGAGGGTCAAAGGGTCAGGCGGGGGTCACACACGGGGGGAGTACTTAGGGTTTCTTGGCACCTCGGTGAAAGATTTCAGCTCATAAGGGATCCCTGTGTCCACTTCGATGGATTTGCGGGAGAATAGCAGCCGGATATCATTGTGCAAGTAGATCTTCCCAGATTTGGAGCTCTGGAATCTGAGAAAGTCAAAAAAAAAAAAAAAAAAAAGTTTGTGTAAAACACTTTCTTTTAATGAAGTGTACAAATATTTTGCTAATTATGTGTGTAACTACATAAAATTATTAAGAATAAACATTTTGTTCACAGTGTAACACTCACAATTAAACTTTTTAAGTTATTATTATAATCTTGAGATACGTTTCCAGACACCACAACACAGGCTAATAAAGCATAAACAAAAATATCAGGTGTAAAAGTAATGCAGACAGCTGAAACCTAGGTCATACCTGAGATGTATCAGGTAACAGAGAATCTTCTTCCTATCTAGCACTCCGCCCCCTGGAGACGCCTCGCCTTTCCCCTCAACCCCCTCCTCTACAGGCACCAGGAAGATACGGTGGCGCAGGAAGGTCATGTGATTGACTGGCATGTCGCCAAAGTTGTAGGTCACCAGGAACATCTTCACCACAGTTTTGTTGGGATTAAATAAGGTCTGAGAACAGATGTCCGACCAAAGTCAGCATTTCAAACAGCAAGAAAAATAAGACTGCTGTCAGTGGTTTTAAGCAAACAGTATACAAGAGGTTATCTTTTAAATTTAAACCACAAAAAACTACTTCACACAGTTTAATCTATGTAGTGATCAGTACATGACCCCTATAGTATGATTTTTATGACATATTCTATGATGGCATGGAATATGTTGAGGTCATTAAAATCATAAAACATTATGGTTGCACAGATGAGATATCTCTGAAAGATTTTTTTATCTGCAACCTTCTCCTGAGCAAAGAACGAGAGAAAAGACAAACTTACCACTTGAATGGTCCCTGCTTTGGGTATGCTGTATCCTTTCTTTCCAAGAGGCTCGAGGGATATCACCCCCTGTGAGGGAGAGAGACAGAGACATGGTACTGATTAAATGTCCTCAGTCACTGTAATGGCGAAATAACACGTATTCTTTGGTATATGTTAATAGCTGTAAACCTCTACATCAGGATGAGGATCTGGATTAAATGCACTAAAATTAAGGAGGAACCGTATGAGGGCAGCATTACAATAGTCATTTAAATTTCTGGTTACATCTACTGATGAGACACAAAAACACAAAAAAACAAACTAAATGAAAGCGGACTAACTCTGAAATCACAACATCATGCTGTAGTTACAAAGGCAGCTACACAGGGATTCCTATTACATTAAATGCCAATTAACAGTTCAAAGAACTGATCAAAAGAGGCCTGACATTCACCACTTTTATAGACAATTCAAAGTCAACATGAGGCATGAAGTTAATTAAGAAACTGAAAACAGCTGGTTTCCAAATGGCCCAGTGTCCAATTGTGAGCAGGACTAAAGTTGTTCACATGCTAATGCTGGTCCTATCTTACTAAGGACTTATGATTATATATGATGAATGTATAATATTCAGTGCTGTGGACAGATGTGGGAAAAGTCTTCACGATATATGCATGAAAGGAAAAAGTTGCCACTATTTTTGCATCTGGTTCTGAAGAAACAAGCAAACATCAACCGTGTTGAAGCCATTTCTATATTTGTTATTGTTTTGGGTAGTTGTTCTGATCTAATTTTTTTTCAGTGAGGTAAATATTTTCTTTCTAGCAAACAAGCTACTTGCCATGTGCAAAAAACAGAGTTGGTTTTCTGTTTGGTTTACTGTTTGTGCTTGATTAAGTGCACACACACAGTATCTTGCAGACACACACACACACACAGAGACTGACCAGGAAGGGTGAGGGTGCGCTTTGCTCTGAGATGTCGTAGTACGTAACCTGCACAGGCAGGGTGACATGCTGTGGGCAATAGGATCCGCTGGCACCGATCTCTGCCGTAAAGCCTTCGATCCGGCCTGAGGGGGAGAATCGTCCCTTCAGTATGGACTCCTGGGATACACAAGACAAGGAGAAGGGGGTATATAGTGACGAATAGGAGCCTTTTAAAACTACTCTTTAATATCCAATGTGGGTTAAAATCAAGGGCAAATGGACTTTGTTGAAGATACATGAAAGTGCTCTCATCCAAGGGCTCTCTAATACTCTAAAACTGTAAAACGGGCAGGGTTTACGGCTGCAGTCTGAGTCAACTTTGGCCGTAAAATCAGAGAAACACCCTACTTAGACTGTGAAATCCATATTTCGTTATCTTAACTGAAATCAAAGAAGTGTTGAAAACAATAAAAAATAAAAAAAGATGCATCTGCAGGCCAACAACAAAGTAAAGTGTTAAATCATGAACTAACATTATTACATTGTTACCTGTTTTAAGTCATTTAAATGCTCATATATTAGGACCCTCTGTTTTTAAATTAGCTCCACTAAGGAATAATCCTGGGCGAGGCTCTGCAACAATTAGAAAAACAGCTAAGCCTACTACACACACACACACACACACACACACACACACTTCACTCTCCCTGCACCTTACTTTCCATTATTATTTTAATTTCCTTTGTTTGATTTTAGCCTGTGAATATTATAAACATCATAAAAGGTAGAATTTATGGCTGAGCTATTGTACTGAAATGCAATAGCTCTGAAATGCATTACATTGTACAGGTGCACCTAATAAAGCGGCCACAGAGTGTATGTCTTCAAAGACAAGACTGTTCCCGGCTCCACTTGGAATGGGTTAACAGTGGTTAAGGTTGGGTCTGCAGTTGGGCCTGTCAATATGTCATGGACACCAGCACCACCTTTGAGTTACGTTTGTCTCCTGAAGTTACAACACAGAAATCACACGGTATTAAATAATACATATTAAATAAAATTTGTACCTCGAAGTTGCCAAGTAGTGATCTGCTGATGGAAGATGAGGGCCAACTGGAACGTGTGGAGCGGCTGGTGTCTGTGTGTCTGCCGCTGCGCAGCTGGCGACTGAATATGACCACAAACACACACAAAACAGGCCGGTGGTTAGTGGCTAAGATTACAAAAATGTCGTCTTAACCGAAATTTCATATGCCTCTTAGTGTGTCTGAGTATTCAAGTCCAGACAACAGAACCCTTTAATTTAGAATAACATAACCTACGCTAACTCCCTCCTTCTTTCCCTCTTATGGCTTTGCTGCAGTCAATCTGACCGACATTCAACTGATCTCATCCATCGACACGTGTGCATGTGCGCGCACACACACACACACACACACACACACACACACACACGCTATATCTTTTTAATATCGGCATTTGTTATATATATATAAAAAACTGATGGAGCACTCACCTTTTCAGCCTCAGACCACTTTTTAGCCGTCTTCCTGATCTTGTACATTCTGCAGCAGTCTGAAAAGAGACAAAAAAAAAGGAAATTCTGTTTTATTTCCCCCTTCTATTAATCTCCTGATTCATGCCAGCAGAGACAGCTATTCACAAACGAGTAACTTGCTTGAAATGTTAAAACATTAAATACACACAGAAAATATTTGACCCTCAAATGAAGAATAAATGGGCTTGTGTTTGTGTTTTTCCGTGGGAGAAATTTGTATGTGTAATTGTGTATTTCAGGTGTCCTCTTACTTACAGAGCACTGACTACTGGAAGTTGCATCACACGCATAAACATTCCCCATTTCCAGGCAGCCATTCATCGTACAGGCCACCCAACTGTCAGGTGACTCTTCACTAGCCAAACCAATGCTACCTGCTACCTGTTTTCTCACAGCAAACTTTTTACTCATGGTTAGTTTATTGGTATTAGCTAACCCTTGGTTACACTGGCCCTCTACAGAGCAGAGCTCTTTGTCAGCTTGTCGTCTCCTCATCACACTCAATCAGAACCACAGATGGCATTTTAGAATATTCCTCTCGTCTCCCCTTTCTGAGCCTCTTAAATATCTTTTTCTAACCTGTATTAACTGATATATCACCTGTAACCGTTTGGCCTCGCTCCTTTCCTATAACTCACTGTTCTCTGTATCCCATCTTTCTTAAATCCATCCGTTTCTCCCTGTGCTTCCCCCTCACACTTACACTAAACACCTCTAGTCACAATGATCCCACCACTGTATGAAACCTAACTAGTAAACTAGTGAACCCTATTGTCACCATTAGCACACTCCCCGTCCCACAAACCCAAACACTCAAAGCTCTTTCTGGCCTCCTAATGTTCAAAAATGGCAAATTCAGTTCCAGAACCATTTTTAACAGGGAGGGTGTGTGTGTGTGTGTGTGTGTGTGTGTGTGTGTGTGTGTGTGTGTGTGTGTGTGTGTGTGTGTGTGTGTGTGTGTGAGAGAGAGAGAGAGAAAGAGAAAGACAGCACACTCATGTGGGGAACAATGGACCCTCCCTCAATGGGCTTTATTCTGGAGCTACTCCTAGCCTGTTCCAGCGTGGCGTGATACTGAGCCAGCCATCACTTCATTCTGTCACTTTTATTCTTAGTTTCTCTGTATTTATGCCTCAGCCTCTTTTCCAGGACTGTCAAGGCTCACAGATGTCTTATCATCAATTACAGACTTTAAACAGCTATTCCTTATTTAGCCTTTTAGAAGCCTCTGCATACAGTGGACTGAATGTTTTTGGTCTAAAAGCACATTATTTGCATGCAAATGTGCCGTTTTTACTGTATACTGCAACAAAATCACCTAGCACAAAATATTTCCATTTCCATCTTTACATCCCTCAGGTATTTTCTGATATGATTCTGTGCCTTTTTTGACCACAACTGCTCTGTTTGCCACTGTTCACTGTGTGCTAAGCTAACATGCAATGTAGCTACCCGTACACCGTGAGTGTTTCGGTCTTGTGAATGCTAGCTATTAACTAGTTCTTGGAACTATAGGCTGATGTAGTTATTTTGGCAAATTAGATTACTCAAAGCAAATTTCTGAGTGAGATGTATGACGTGTATGTGTATGAGTGTGCTGACCTTGGGCCGGTCCCATGCAGAGGGCAGCAGGTGGTTCCAGTAAGGGGCAGCTTTAGCATCAGTGCTGCGACATGAGGTCGGGCCAAGTCCTGGAGCCAACAATGACAACCTGCTTCTCTTGGATGTAGAGGGTCCCTCATCTTCTGAACAAGACTCCCCTGTGTCGCTTGGGGACAGCAGCCTCTTTTTGGCTGGCCAGTGGCCTCCAGAGGACAGACGGTGGCCATTACTGCTGGGAGTTTTCTCCCAGGAAGCCAGGCCATTAGACGAGGAGGCAGCCTGGGTGGCACTTCGCTCAGGTGGGGAAGATTCAAGTCCAGCTTCCCACTCAGTGGCCTCCCCTGGTTCATGCAGCTCTGTGTGGTGTGGGGGGGAGAAAGGGCCTGGTGGGCTGGTGGGGCTGGCAGGGTTTGGAGTTTCATACACGGGCATTTCATATAGGTGGGGGCTGGGCTGGCCTCCAGATGAGCCATTACTACAGCTCTCATTTCCAGGGCTACCTAGTGAGTAGCCCCCGCTAGGTGGCTCACTCTTGGCTGAGTTTCCGAGGGAATGGCCCTGGTCACAGAGATGCCCATGTGGGTCACACATTGGGGGTGATTTAGGTGAGAGTGGCGCAAAAACATCAGGAATGGGCCTGTCATGATTGTGCTGGGTTGGGCGGCGGGAGGGGTTGTGGCTTGGGGAAAGTGGTGGAGACCTGGGTGACAGTCCTCCCTCAGAGTCTCTGTGCTCCATCTGTGTGTAAGAGTATACAGAAGCAGGCCCACCAGGGGCAGTCGCTAACCCCATCCCAACACCTTGAGCCGGGGCTGGCCCACACAGCACCCCTCCTTCCAATGCCTCCTTGTCAGAGGAGTCCCCCAGGTGGGGGCGCTTATGAGTCAACTGGGGCTCCTCTAGACCCCTTTTCACACCCAACCGGACAGGCCTCTGTTGGGTATCAGTGTGGGATTCGGTGGAGGTAGAAAATCCCCCCAACTGGGAGAAAATGGAGAGCTGGTAGACCTTTTGGAGCCGCAATTCCTCCTGTCCAAAGTGCCTAGGTGCCCCTGGTCTGACGCCAGGGTCTAGGCCATGTGTTGGGGCTGTGGGTGGAGGCAGGTCGCCCCCCTGGGCTGGAAGCTCTAATGGAGCCTTTTTGTGGGCTAACTCCACATGAATGTGCCGCATGGTTCCTATGTTTGAGGATGAGAGTCTTGACTAACTTATGTGCAACAGGGTCAAGTAGGTCCTCACAAGTGCCAAGAGGCAGAGCAAGATGTTCCACAGGAATAGGAAGTCCTATAGTTCCTGTTGTGGTGTTGTCAAACAGTGTGAACCAGGAAGCTGAGCTGCACAGCACCTGAGAGGAACAAAATATATAGTTTTACTATTCAGAACAGACACTCTGACACTTCAGCCAGGTGTGTGCAGAATACCCCCATTTTATTTTTATTTCAGAAGACATGCAGAACTATATGATAAACAAGATGATATAACAAATTACTCCAGGGTGTAACTGTTTTACAGTCTTGGCTCCTTCCCTTAATGTGACTGCAAAATAATGGTGTGACTTTCACTATTGGTTTTGTAGAAAACCTTTTCAGCCCTCAAAAAGGTGCAGGGAAAATCAGGCACTTATATTTATAGATATGGTCTATTTGAACATAAAAAGGCATAAGTTATCTCATGTCTAACTAAATGATATATTGAAGACAATGCCCAAGATCAGCATCTTACCTCTGTGCTCGTCCTTGTCTAATTCTGCCCGTGTGGACAACCTGCATCTGGCACAACATCTGGAAGTTGTGTCTAAAATGGCAGCTGCCATTAAACAACCAAGATAGGTAAACAGTAAACAGTAAAGACCACAGAGGAAGCAGGGGTGAAGGAGCTATGACCTGAGGAGAAATAAAAAAGGTCAGTGAAAATGCGATAAACAAACACCATGATGAATATCATAGTTTATGAATTAAAGTTACTACAGTGTGTTTATGTATGAACATCTTGGATATATATATATCCAATAATAAAAACTGTTTTAATTTGTTTTAATACTTAGAAGTTATATGTAATTCGTTTACATGAACCGCATTACATTTGTATGTTTAAGAAAGACATTTAGTATAGAATGGTCTGAAATTATAAGTTGCCATCCTGAAGGCAAAACTTACCAGAGGGGCAGAGTGTCAACGATGTAGGAGGCTCTTGAGAGGAAATTTTTCTGAACCAGAATCGGAAATAACTCTATTGGGGCTGCCTCTGTGATGGGCTGATAGCCAGACACGCCCTCCTTGGTCACCTGGGCGTGAGGTGTGGCACGGCTGTGGCATCATGACAGGGTCATTCCACCCAGAATCACTGAAAAGACAGAAAGACAGAAACAAATCAAATCAGTGGTCAGTCAGTTGCCTTGACTTTAACAGTCATTCAGATGAGAATATTCCTCCTGAAAAACACACAAAGATTATGACAGATATTGATGTCCACACTCAAAATTACCCCAAAGAAAGCCACAAAAACAAACGAGCGTCCTCATACCTGTGTATACTTGACCAAACATACACTACAGATGTAGGAACACATACTGTGTAAAAGTTAGGAAGTCAATAATAAAGCCTGTTTCTGAACTTGAGATGAACACAAAAGGCAAATCAGTTAAATAATCCATAATAAATTCATTCCCTCATCATTGAAGTACTCAAGTTAAATGAGGCAGAAATATTCCTGTCATTCCCTTTTATTTTCTATAGCCAAAATACCCAATTTTGAGTTAAAAAACACTCTGGGTTGAGGATCGAACTCGTGGAGCAGAGAATTGACGTTTCCAGTTCTAACTTGGCACTAAATGGTGCTAGGCCAAGAGAAGTGGGACGTTTCCCGACCCACTTGGACCAGAACTTGGGAATGTGTGTGTGTGTGTGTGTGCGCGCGCTGTTGCCATGGCAACCGGTAGCCCAAGGATAACGGCTCCTTTGTGCTTGGCCACAAAGGGGGAGAAAATGAAGCAGGCAGAGAGAGAGAGAGAGAGAGAGAGAGAGAGAGAGAGAGAGAGAGAGAGAGAGAGAGAGAGAGAGAGAGAGAGAGAGAGAGAGAGAGAGAGAGGACGATGGGGGGTGCTGGGGTGCAGGGGGAGGCAGGCAAAGATGCTCCTCTGAGAAAATATCTACATACAAAAACAAAATGGCTGTCCTCCATGAGGTGTGTACAGCCAGCCAAAAAATTCAACACATTGTGATAAAGGACTATGTTCTATTAACCAAAAGCAGGCAAAATAATTTGATTCAAGTGCTTATACATTTCATCCAAAACTTGAAATGTAAACTGTGACAACTGGAGGAGCCAAGAAAGCTACTCTGACCAACACCCTGCTGGCACCCATGTAAAAATCAGTAAAGAAGCGAAATACATTTGTTTCCTAAATTACAGCAACCAGTTACTTCACCCTCTAGCATTTCCTTTTGAATCATCTTGACAAAACAGTGCTGACGCATAAGGAGATCCACTGGATACACAGAAGTAGATATTGAGAGTTGTTTGTGGTATTTTCCACTAGATTGAAACACACCTGAAATGAATGCTGAATACAATTCTCAAATTGCTTCACAAATATGTAATGATCAAACTACTCTAGGTGACTTGCAGCAGGTGTTTAAAATGCTTGGCTGACAAATACTGACAATACTTATATGAGCATGTATTGTGTTTCATATCATTTCTCAAACCGAACTCTCCATTCATCTCTAGTCCTTAAATTTGACTTCAAAGAAAGGAGGGATTATCTGTCAAAGATGACACAAGAACGAGAGGAATCTAGACAAAAGTACATAAAAAGGGGAAAAAAAGAGACAGACTGACCCTCCACTCCCCCTATATACATTAAAAAAGGATGTCAGGAGTGAAGTCTTTGTCACCTGTAATTACACACATGTCATATGGTTTCAATGCAGTCACACAACCCTACCTTTGGTAGAACCCAGGTTGCGCAGACATATGCACAAACACATGAGTGCCTTTCCCAAAATTCAGGGCCAAACCAGAAATGTCCCAGTCACACAGGGATATCTGTTTATTTTATTAGCAAGTCAAATGACAAAAGATAGGCAGCATGTCAAAGGCGTATGAGTTCAATTAGCACAATACAAAGAATCACCTCCTCTTGTTGTCCCCTCCCTCCTGAAGACAGGTGAAGTCTCCAGGGTGAGCGCCCAGGGGCGGACACGGAGTGGGGGATGGGGATAGAATGGAGAGCAGTCAGCAATGAGTATTTATAGTCACAGCCTATGTCAGAGCTCACTGGGAGTACCCAAAGGTTCTCTGCTAGATCCCACTTGATTTCTGACCTTATTTTGAACTAGCTGAGCCGGAGGCTGGCAGAGGCTGCCCATCCCTTTTCAGGCTTGATCCAGGAGCCAACAGAGGAGTAGAAACACTCTGGCTTCTCCCCAAGAAAGGCCTCAGGTTGCTGGGCCTGTGTGCTAGCTTAGACTTGAGTACTTAAACACACCATTACTGCACTGCTGAACACAGTATTGGTTTACACTCACACTAGCACCTAATTTAGTCAATTAGACATTTTCACCCGTAGTCTACAAGTACAATGTGCTCTGTGTAAAATGCACTTGATCTGCGCACACTTGAATGTGTGCTACTCACAGTCAAGGATATGAAAAAACTAATTACACACACACACACACACACACACACAGGGTGCTTCTGCTTTTGTTGTTACAATCTCCTTGTACTTCTTACATATTACCATGGTTTGAAGTACATCTTTTGTAACCAAACCACTACCACACTACTGAAGTTGGTCCTCTTTTTAGAACAAACTCCTCTACTGTGGAGCCGGTAGGAATGTTACTTTTGCTTTAGCCATACTTATTTCAGTGTGCGACAGTATGAGTCATCACGTTAAACAAAATGGAATATTGCCATTATCACAATACGATTTTTTAAATCATATTAAAAATTATAATAATATATCATAACCAATATGATATGGCACATCCCTAACACACACATTCATTTCTTTGCTGAATTGTAAATTGATGCTTTAGTGATGATTGTATGCTGTTCCTCAAATGTTAAGTCGCTTTGGATGAAAGCGTCTGCCAAATGAGTAAATGTAAATTTGCAAATCTGTAACCGCCAACAGCAAAAATTACAATTATGCAATCAGCATCATTGGCAATCCAGGTGCAATGTCAATGTAACATCTGCAGCATATCTGAAAGTGGAGCAGCAAGCAATCATTCAGAAAGAGAGAGCGAGAGTAGGAATGATGAGATGACAAAGGAATGGGAAACGCCTGATGTGAAGGAAGCAGCCAGACAGAGAGAGAGAGAGAGAGAGAGAGAGAGAGAGAGAGAGACAGACCATCCAAAGATCTTGAGGAAGGTATAAATAAAGCAGGAAGATCTCCCCAGTGTCGGTGCCAACTCAGAGTATCCATGGCTACAGTGCATAAACCAGCATTTAAGACTTGTTAGCTCATAGCTTAAAAATTAAACTGTCCCAAATGGCAACCCTCCGTGCTTATTAGTGAACCTTTTCAGATAAAATATGCCTAGTTGAAAATGGTCCAGTGGACAAATAACTGCTTCAGAAAAAAAAAATAAAAAATGCTAAAAGCAGGGCTACACAGAGGAATGTATGTGGTACTCAGAAAACAGTATTTAGAAGGCTTCTCAATTTTTCAAACTAACCCTATTTTCCCATGTTTTTGTGTCTATTTGACTAATTGGACATTTATTGAAAATGGTCCAGTATTGAGAGAACAGTCGCTTTGTCGCTCTCGGCAAAGCCACCAGACTCCATTAATGAAAACAGTAATTCTACCTTGCAGAACATGAGAGTTGCTTTTCTTCTAATGTCTCTGTCGGTTAGTTTGTTCGTGTAATTGTGTGACTTTGTTGTTTGTTGTTGTAAAGGGTTGAAAACACCAAAGTCACACAATAACACAAACTAACTGATCAAGGCAGTGATGGGTAAAATTACTATTTTTGTCAAGGGAGTCTGGTTATTTTGACAGGAGTGTTACAGTGACTTTTTCTGGTTAAACAAAAAGGATCTTACTCTTTAAAAAAGGTCCGTCTCTGTAGGGATCCTTTCCATAATTTTGCCAGACACTTGTAATAACAATCTGGACATACTTTGATTGGGCTGTTGACTGCAGCATGCTCGCTCAATACAAGACCAACTTCAAAAAGTGTCACATTGACACAAAAACATAAGGTCATGCTCATTTGCATGTTCAAAGGAGGAGGAAATACAATGTGTGTGGGTGAAATAAAGACAAACGAGGGGGAAAAAAAGTGAAAAACAATAACAGAGGCTGCTTGGGCACAGGTACCCAATGAGATCAAGATCCTGTAAAGTGGTGAAGACTCATTTTGATCCAGATCTAGGTCTTCGCCAAGACAAACATAACAATGCATTTTGTCTTGGCGAAGACCTAGATCTGGATCAAATGAGTGAGTCATGTGCACCCAAAAAATATTTATATGGAATTAGCCCATAATCAAACCTGGGGAATGATTTTCCAATAGAAATAAGCCAAGGACAACAATGGGAAAATGAGATGGGACTGTTAAGGGAGAATTTGTATGTACAAAGATAACACAAAGGTCACTGTTCAGGAATCAGATTTTACTTGGAGATTTTGCTTCCAGTCTAAAATCTGATCTGGCTACTGACTTTTATTGTGGAAAAGATAACAGTCAAAATTCACCAGGGCATCCCAAACTAAGCATCAGCATCAAATAACACTAGCGCACTTACTCACATCATCTCACGTGTAGGGACTGAGGTCAAAGTGTTCAGTGCCTTTGACTGGACACATGCCTGTTGTGGAGGTAAAACATTTTGTTCAGGAGATAGTCATGACCTTCAAGGAGGATGTTTAGCTGCTGAGGAAATATGTGCAGTCTGTGTCTGTGTGTTCATAAAAATGCATACACGTCTGCACATTAGAAACTTTGTGTGTCGATATGAGTGTATGAGCACCCTTTTGGCCAAGAAAGACTGTGGTCATGAGGTCAATGGCCATCAGTCTTGGGACAGATGACTTATAGCACATCAGGAGGTATTTCATATTATCATCATCATCATCATCATGAGAGTGGTGGTGCTGGTAGTAAAAGACTAACTCAAAGGCAACACACACACACACAAACTGGGTTATTTGTTCTATTGAATAACTTATTAAGAGCTTGTTAGACTAAGACACTCATCAGTCATTGGAGTGACTGCAGCATCAGTATGTTAAGCAAAAACATCTGCAAAACAGACAAAAGTACACTTAGGGCCCTGTGGCTCCCTGTAAACTTTGAAATGCTACACATGGGTGGAATGAACCACACTCAAACGCACAAAAGTATACATAAACATGTCATTAGGAGGTTTGCTGACGCCTCTGACCAAGAAACCAGCTCTCAGTAAAAATGTATGGGCAGAGCGCACAGCCAGCACCTCTCCTCAGAAATACCCTGACATCTGGCCTGTGTACATTCATCACAACACTCGAATTGGGCGTGCACATGCACACACGCACCCCCCCCCCCCAACAAACGCATACCGCATTAAAAGCACTATCACTTTCTGTCTTTCAGCAATTAAAGAAACACTCAACAAAATAAACAATTCAAATAAATATAGCAAAAGGGAATACAACAATCAATTACATTGAATCTACACTTGGGATTGTTTACGGTCTTTATCAAATGTGAAACAAATACAACCACTGCATAAATCAGATTTTTTTTTTCCTGAATGCTCTCATTTGCTTTACTCCATCTTGTTTACGGGAGAAAAACAGCAGCTCTATTTACACCCTTCTGAATTTACAAGGACTTGCCTTACTTGTTTAGAGATGCTATTGTTTTATTATAATACACCACTAATTAGCCAATAGAGTTGCAAACTTTGATAAAGTAAAGCATCTGGCTCTTGAGGAAAATTTCTACCATTTTCACCAAATGTTTTTCCTCCCTTTTAGGAAAACTTTCACAGTAAAAAAACAAAACAAAAAAAGCGTGAATGTTCTATGTTAATTTCTTCCATGTTTGGATTTAACTCACTCCAATGCAGAGATACGTATCAAAAACTTCAACCTGGACAGCTGATGGCAAACTTTTGACAGTCTCCATCCCCCTTTAATAAATAAATAAGTTTAGTGACAGAGGCCTTCATAGAGACACTGTGTGTGCACCAATGCAATGCCACAGTAAGCAATGATGTATTTTGCACAGCATGCAAACTTGACAGTGAATGTCTCCTTTTATGTTTTGCACCTACTACCCCCTTACAAGAGAGAAGAGGGCATTTGGGGTCAGTGGGGTAACAAATTCAATCAGTCTTTTGTGAAAACTTGTGTTTCTATCAGCTCAGCTACACTCAGCCCTCCTTGTGTCCTCATTCTTCTCTTTACACCCTGCCTATAACAGAGGTGTGATAGCGTCAGCATGAAGTTAGCAGCCTCCCAAATGACCCGATTGTCTCATCAGCTTTTAGCAGAGACCCCACCCTAGCTACTCCCAGGACTGTACTGGGCCTGGAGGCTGATAAACACACAGGCACACACACTTATGCACACATTGTCTAACACAAAAAGTTGGTATGTGCTCCTGCTAACATCACCTGTTGATTAGATTACAGGAGCCAACTAGAGTTTGGAAATCTGATGTCGCTGTGCATACGGGGATGGAATGACAGCCGAGTGTGTTTGAGTTGCAGACAAAGGCAGAAGACAGGAAGTAGCAATGAAAGACAAAAAGGGAGACAGGTTTCGTTGATTGAAACTGATAAACCTCTGAGCGAGACAGTGTTACACCAAACGCATACAGTACTCAGGCTGGCGAGTCATGGCAATCTGAACTAAGCTGGCTCAGTGACATAGTTGCTGAGAATGCGGTTTGACACGGGGTGCCTTTCTGTCTCTCCCTGCCTCCCTCCGTCTATATGTCTGCCTGCCTATCTGTCTGTCTGCCTGCCTGCCTTTCATGTGGCCATTTTAGGAGACGTTGAGTCACTCGAGCCCAACTGACAGTATAACGGGAGCAACATTAATACACTTGACTTGACAGCAGGAGAAGTTGTGACACTCACCCTCTTAGAAAGATGGGGATTATCTCGCTGTCTCACTCTCAGTCTCTCTCCTTCCTTCCTCTGTTTTGTCTGGTAGCTGGATGGATGACTCTGCTGCCTTTTCTTTCTGTCCTCTGTGTTTCCACTGGGTCAGCCTGCCTTCTTTCTCTCTCTCGCTCTGTCTCTCTCTCTCTCTCTCTCTCTCTCTCTCTCAACTGGCTGTTTTTTTGTCTATCAGTGCTTCCTTCCTCCTGAATAATGTTGAGAAAGACAGCTACATCTTGTGCTGCCTCCCTCTGCTTGCTTTGTCAGGAGGCCTGTACTATCTCTTTCTCACTCTCAGTGTATCTTGCTTTCTTCCTGTCTACCTCTCTCCACCGTCACACATACACATCAAAACCCCATCAACAACTCGCCACCCACCCATCTCGTTCTTGCCCTCCCTCTCCTTTTCTCTCTCTCAGGCTCCCCCCCCCTTGCCCTCTTTCTTCCTTTCTCTCATTCGCAGCCCCTCCAAAATATCTTGAATACAAAAGCCTCTTCACATGCTAGCGTTCCCCCTTTCCTCTCCTCCCATTCCTCCTCTAGCTCTCCTCTCTTCCTCTATCTACTCTCAGGCCCCTCCTTTCAACCCTGCCCTCTCCGTCTCTCTCTCTGTTTTCTTTCTGTGGGTTTCCTCTCAGCTGATAGAGCAAGGCATGCTTTGCTCACTCAGCAGTGAAGGCATACAGAGGAGGGGGGAGTGTGTGTGTGTGTAGGGGGGGGGCTTCAAGGTGATTGGCTAGATTACAGGGGGGTCAGCTGTAGTGCCTGAGGTCCTGATTGGTCAGGGGGAGGGAGTGAAAACACGGAGGAGGCGCAAGGATCCAAAGTCCCACCCACATGCTCCTGCTTGGCCTGTTCTGCAGAAGAGAACGACCAAATAGGACTTTCCCCCAACAGTGTGTGCGTGTCTTAACTGTCTGTCCTTGACAGCTTCAAGCATGTTTTGTGTACAGTGTATCACTTGTGTTACTTCTTCCCATAGTTTGCCATCCACATGTGTGAAATGTACACAGCGCCTATAGCCCTCACAAGCCTACAAAAGCAGAAGGCTTATCTGCTGCTGGAGTACAGATACAGAATGAAGCATCTGAAAAAGTTTATCAGCTGAGTACCAGGAGCAGCCCTTAGCTGTGTGTGTGTGCGTGTGTTTTGCCATCTGTGAGCCAATAAAGAACAGCATGTTGACTAGGCAAGAACTAATTCAAACAGACTGCCGTGGTTAAAGCATCACACACCTGTGTATAGGCTCTCTTACACTCACACACACACACACACGCAGTTAAAGCACTGTGCACAAAACATACTTGAAGCTGTCAAGAACACATATTCACACACAACATCAGCCTGACCCTCTTGTCACAGACACAAACTCACACCTACCCGGTTAGGCTTTATCCTTAAATAGGAAGCCAGGGCTGACGTGTTATCAGATGTGTGCTGGTCGAGACCTGTGAGACAAACATGTTGATAGCTCTCTGTCTCTTTGTGCCTGAGTTTCTGTCACTGTCTTTCTCCGACTTCTCATCGTCTATCACCTGTTCAGTTTCTATTTGTGCTACCTTGTGTCTGTTTCCAAAACAATGGAAATTTGCCAGTTGCTGCTGCTTTGCCATCTAATCTTCATCATACAGAAACATGCAGATGACATACGTAGTTTTGTGGTGGTTTTCCTTCACCAAATCAAGGGTCTAAGTATATAGGGTGTTATAAGTCACGTCTAAAGCATGTATAACGTGTGATTTAGGGTTATTTAAATAAATGTGACACTAACACTAGGCTGAGTTAACAAATCATTATTAATGACCTTGAAACAATTGTTTTGATGATTATGTTCAGAAATGGAATAATTATCTGAAAGTGGTTCATCTATGGTTTCCAGTATTTTCTGTCATACGCTCCTTCTGGTAGTTAAACAAAAACTTCTTTGTGGACATAAAGGGAGGACGTGAAATTACCTGCAACCACCAGACCAAATGCTAGTAAATACTGGCTACCTAATTTGTGCTCTACCAACCTAATTGGGAATATGAGCATTTCATTTTTTGTACCTGGAGAAAGTGGATGAACATGTTCTTATATTTTTGTAATACACATATAATTTTTAATGCAATATGTTGGATAATATCCTAATTTGTGACAATGCACTTTAATATGACTCCGTGTACTTTATTTAACAAGCAACATACCAATTCATATTATAAATACACAAATAAATAAAATTCATAAATAGAAGCATTTTATATTACAGTATATTACTCTCTTCCTGTGTTTTCTAGATCCTTTGACTAGTCATTAAGCCTATAAAATGTTCATTATAATTTCCCAGAGCCCAATGTGACATATTCAAATTCAGAAAAAACAGCCCAAAACTATCTCAGACAAATAAAACATCAAATCCTAACATCTGGGAGGGAATGTTTCAAATGTGTGCTTGAAAATTGACTGTAATGATTCATCAATTATTGTAATAGTTGATGACTGCTGATCAGTCTGCTGATTAACTGACTAACTGTTTCCATTCTGCATGTATGTATAGATGGATGCAGTTTGTATAGATTTGTGTGGAAGTATGTCACAGTTGTTTTGGTGCATGGGTGTGAACGGTAAAAGTGTGCAGAGATGAGGTTTGAAAAACGAGACGCAGCTTCAGCTACGTACCTCCAAATATAGCGATGTGGGGATAGAGGAGAGAGAGGGGAGGGGGGGAGGTAGAAGATGGTGAGATAGACAGAGGAAAATAAACTGACAGAGAGACAGGGGGAGATTAAAATGAGGCTAAGTTTCTGTCGTGGCACAGCCTCCTTTTAACAGCCAAGCCTGTAAAAACTGTAATAATGGGGACTTCCTGCCATCAAGCAGCACTGCTATTTAGGATCTTGTGTTTCAGCTTACACACACACACACACACACACACACACACACACACACTTCGGTCCCTTTAAGAGCCCATGTTGCTTTCCATATTTGGGAAAATGGGCGTGTCTTCTCTATGAAGACCAACCTCCATTCAGGGACACTGTGAGTGCAGCTGAGGAGAAAAACACATTGAAAACACTCACTCACATTCCATCAAACGCAGGCATTGATGCAATCTTGACTTAAGTGCATGGCGGTGTTTGTTTTGATCTCTATAGGTTAGGGTTGGATTTTAAGCCACGGCATGTGAATTACAGCTTTTACACACATACACACACACACACACCTTTTTCTAGGCCTCTCAAAATGACACCAGCTGTGTTTTGGGCTGCACTAAATAGTCACAGCCTTCAAAAACTGAAGCGTTTCAATTTGACCAGCCCAAAAACTCCTTGAGTAAAGCTGTTAGTCACAATTTTAAATGACCAGTTTTATATATATATATATATATATATATATTGAAAACAAGGTCCAATTCACTCTCCTCTTTAGCGAGGGAGAGAACAAAGAGGAGAGGAAGAGGGGAGGAGGAAGGGTGGGAAAGGAAAGTGTCTGTGTCTATGTGTTGGGGGGGTTGGGGGGGTCTGTGTAATACTGAACATGTTTTAAGCAGCAGTCAGTATCAATTGAACATACAATGCAAAACCTTCTGCGTCTCTCTCTGCTACTTGTGTCACTCCGCTAAGCCCCTCCCACCAAACCCATAAGCAGGAGCCAGTTGCCCTTCGAAACCTCATTCCCCATAGGGTTCGCTCTCCATGGTGAGAGTCCCGCCAAGAGTCTTCTCAAAGACGCCCCTCCAACGCTTCGCAGGCCCTCAGGGACAGCTGCAACAACGGTGGAATGAGAGGCTAGTGCACCGCTGCTCAAAAGTTATTCCCCACTGTTTGTCGTCATGCCTCTTTGCCACTTGTCGATATGAACACCATGGCATTTAACATAATGATCCTAAAGCTCCGCGTAGAGCCAGGACATGTAGTATTTATTGTTGTCAGAAAAAGAGGGATGGGCAGTTCTTTCATTGCTGGTGTTTCTCAGCCATTGTGTTTGCAAAACTATTGAAGCCGTACACGGAGGGGGGCTGCGCAGTGTATGCATGAGCTGTGATTGACACACTGGCTCTGATTGGTTGAATGGCATTAGGAGCAGTAAGAGGAGCCAGAGGAAACTGATTTTTTCCACATATTATCTGTCTCATGTACTGCTGTCACGATATAGTGACAGTTTTAGTAAATATGACAAAAGGTTATTTTTAAAAGAATTTAAAGAGGAGTAGACCCCTGCGTGTGTTGGTGTCTGACACGTCTGTGATGAGAGAGCGCTGCTCTGAGACAGCAGCAGAAGCAAATTTCACAGCTAATACTTACAAGTACATAAGAAGCAGTGACGTCTTAACGTGCTGGTTCAGATCAGTTTGAAGTTTGTCATGCATTGTGTTTGGTTTTACTGTAACAGTTAAGTGAAGTAGTATGTGGTAATAAGCTAAAAATATTGTAAGGAAGCTGATGTTTACAGTCTGAAATTAACTTTTCGGCCCGTTTGACCGGTCCAGCATTATTTGAAGCTATTTCAAAACATTTTTTAAAATAAATACAACACTTTCCCCATTTTTAGTGCTACACCATTGACAGTATTAAAGTTTGAAGTGCTACTTCAAAAACTGGCTTTCCCCCCACTTACACAGCACATATGTCTGAGTTTCCATTTTCTATTTTTAGCAGCCTCAGTTATGGATCACCACATGGTAATGACATTAACTGCTTTCTATTGTCAACATTTCAACCCTTATTTCTCTGCAGGCCAGAGTGTCTGCAGAGAAAGACACACACACACACACACACACACACACACACACACACACACACACTTACAGTAGAACAGGACCTCTGAATAGGATGCTAGATAAGATGACCCCACCCAAAATCCCACAAATAAAACTAAACAATCATCACATAACCAGTCCCTCCAGGCTGTTTCCCACACAGAGCAGTTTCTTTGTATTTACATTTCTAGAGCAGTGTAACAATCCAGTGAGATGAGCTTTCTCTGGAAGGGTACGTTTAACCAGCTGCATGTTAATAAACAAGATTGCAAAGCTGATAAGAGACATGCCTATTTAAGTATAAGCACTTGACTTTGCTGCCAATATAAATACTATGTGCATAATATGTGTGTGTGCACTTTTCTCTCTTTGCCATTTAAGCAAATTAGCTGGAAATATTTGACCAATAAAAAGCTTGTTAGCTTTCACTTTGTTTGGATTGCATAATTCTATACTCAACTTTCTATCAAGTGACTACATATAAGCGTCATATGATATAACAGTGTGTATTAAACCAGGGTCTGGGTCAGTTATAATTAAGAACGGGGTTCGGTTTAAATTGGGCAGGTGTAGTAAACACAGATTGCTCAACATAGACACTTTTTGTTAATCCATTTTTAACGCCAGCAGTCCAAATTAAGCATTCCCAAAATATCTTCTGTTTGTTTTTCAATTACTAAATATGTCTCCACATCCTCTTCTGCAATCATTTGAACCATTCATTTATTAATCCAGTAAGAAGCAGCAATGTGAGATGACAAGAT